TATTTTAAACAGTATCCATGCCCTTTGGAAGACAAGGAGCAACACAGGAACACAGGCAGAGAAATATTGAACTATAAGGTCTCAACTCTGCTTATTAACTCTTTGATGCAAAGGTTTAAAATTATCTTTGTTTGCCGGACTGCTTGACAGCCTAGTTTTCTGACTAGCAGCACAGTCTTAAGCGTAAGAAAAAACAACAACCACAAAGCTAGTCCAGTGTGAAGTCTCTGAGGGATTTTCTCCTTAATAAGCATGCTTAAGATTGCAGCCTTAATTTGAGCTGTGACTGGGACGGACGGTGGGGAAGATAATGAAGTAATGAAAGCAACGTGTTATGTTAGGCTTCAGGAACCATTTGCCCCAGAGCCAGATATGGCCTGCGGTGAGCCTCCTCCTAACCCATGAGCTGAAAATGTCTTCTCTCTGCTTCCCACTCACCCCTGAGTGCTGCACCAAAGCTTTAAAAAGACATGACGGGCACCAGTTTCAATGGGGCGGGGCTCTTATGGGGAACTTCCGTTTTTTTAAAAGCAAAGATTAAGGGATACTGTCAGGAAAGTATCTGAGCAAACACTTTGCTCTCAGTGATCTTTTGACTGCATCACAGTTGCCCCTGGTTGGCATGAGGATTTCTGATTCATGCCATCTTTAGACCCGCGGTTGGGCACTTCCATGTTATGTGTCGGCTGCAAGAGTCAAGTGTTGCTTTTAACCAAGGCTGTCATGGAACTCGGACATGCAATTAGGTTCGCAGGCTGCTTTGAGAATAGACGGAGGAGTGCACCTAGCAGGGGATTTCCTCAAATGCCAGAGTCAGCAAAAGAACGTTACCTATCACGTTAGTGGCAAAGGACAATCATATTAAGCTACAAAAGAACGTTACCTATCACATTAGTGGCAAAGGACGATCATATTAAGCTGTAAAGACCCCCCTCCTCCACTTATGCCCAGTGTTACTGCATGCAAAATTGCTAAGACCCCCCGTCCTCCACTGATGCCCAGTGTTACTGCATGCAAAATTGCTATTATGCCAGCACACACACACACACACACTTGTCTGGGGGCTTCTCATAGTTAGGGCTGTGATTCCAGCCACCCACTATGTGCCTTCTGGGGCAAGGACAAATAAAACCCATCATGTGTTTGGCTGATAAACCTCCAGCTACAGGAACAAACTGCTGGGTGCCTCAGTGGTTTAGGTCTCTGACTGCAGAGTAAAGGTTCGATTTCCTACTGGGCCTCCCTGCTGGGCTGGAGTCAATGTTCCATAAGATCCCTTCCAGCTCTGCATTTGTGATGATGATGATGATCAGCTGTGTGATGATGATGAACAGCTGTGTGATGATGATGATTAACAGCTAAAGGATAGATACAGCATGCTCCTTCATAAAGAAATAAGTGTGGTGAAAAGCCATTAAGGTCTTCATATGACATCAGCAGCTTATGTGGTGAAAACCCATATATAAGAATTAAGGTCTTCATATGACATCAGCAGCTTGAGCAACTGAAGAATTAGAATTGATAGGTTCCAAGAGACTTTGGTGGCCATGCTATCTGGGGGAATTCTGGGGATTCACAGTTCAAAAAACCACAATATTTTCAAGCTCTCACAAAGAGCCGTGTGACTGTCAAAGATGGGAAAATTCCAGTTCATCCATAAATAACTACCTTGTGTCCTGGGTATAAGCAGAAATTCGTCCATATCAAGGCAGAAAGCTTTGTCTTTGAAATCCTCAATACAGTCTTCAGCGGGATGGAGAACACGGGCTGGGGAGGGAAAGAGAGATCCAGCGTATATCCAAGGGGAAGACTAAAGAGACTTTGAGATCCTGAGCCTACCACTCAGCTCTATGAAACTGTTGGGGAATTTGGTTAAAAAAAAAGAGGGGAGTTATAGGAATTCAGTTATTCCTTATAGTTAACAGAGTATAAGGTAGAAAAAACAACAAGAAAGAATTGTGGAGAGATCAGTCCAGTCTCATCCTCCTCCTCCCTGGTTTTGTACAGGAGCTCCCACTTTGTATGATTAGAACACTCTAAGTAGAAAAACATATCTTTACTTCCACTTACCATCCATAGTTATAGTCAGAAGGGAAAAAGGGAGGATGGTCAGAGGAAGAAGAAGGGTTAGCAACAAAACAATGGGAGCAGAAAACAAACAGAAAGAGGGGTGTGGCAGGGACTTGTCTCAAATGCCAGAGGTGGGGAGAGAACTTTACCACTCAAGTTAGTGGTCAAGGACAATCACATTAAGCTGCAAATCCACCTTCCACTGATACCCAGTGCAAAATTGTTAATATCCCAACAGAAACATCACAGCTGCCTGTTTGCTGAATGCAGGAGAAGGGGGGAAAACTCACAGTACAAAAGGATCCTTTGATAGTCTTGGTCTGTTTCCTGGACAATGATGGAATCAGGACATTTGGCAGAGAAGAGCTCTGTCCTCATGTGGGAGCGGCCTATAAGTGGTTGAAAACAGAGGGGGAAAAGTTTAGGGACTAAATCGATGGAGAACAAGGTTTGCATGCGAGGGATAACCATCGGATGGAGCCTTTCTAGGACTTCCAAATGCAGTTGATAGAACTACCTGTTGGAATGCTCCTGTGTGTGAAAAAGAAAAGGGCCCGCTCGTGGAAAGCTAGTTAATCAGGGACCAATTTAGTTTTGCCGAAATACTTGAATCCCAGCAGAGTAAGTACATGATGAAAAATTCAGTAACTAAAGGTAGAGATCACATCTACTGTGATGAGGACTAGCACCTGGGGGGAAAAACACCCCACCCCCATTGCTCTTTTCATCAATGGAATCCTAAAAGAGACACTAACCTAGAAATCACAAACACACTAAATCATACAAACTTATTTGTCAAGGGCACTCGCCTTGTGTTCAACGTGTGTAAAAGATAATGTCTAACAGAGCAGGGGTGGAGAACTGTGGACAACACCCCCACTACCACCACTGGTGGTGTTAGATGGCAGTTCCCATGATGTCTCCTAACTGGTTCTGCTGGCAAGGGCTGATGGGAGTTGTAGTCCAACAGCTGCCCCCCCCCCATATTCTGCAGAAGCATTGTCAAAGAAGCAGCAGCACTGTATTCGCGAAGGCTTTCACGGCTGGGATCTAATGATTGGTGTGGGTTTTGCCTGAAGGAGGCCAAAGTTCAATTTTTTTGTATGTGAGGCAGATTTTAAAAACACTCATTCCCCCAACCAGCCTCTCTGCAGACCTGACTGTCAGCTGGGTGGTGGGGGAGATAGCAGGCCCTTGGCCCCTGGAAGGGGAAACACAACTGCCTGCCTCTGAAGACGGCCATCCCTGCCCCCCC